GGGAGGCACAGGCCGGGGCCCAGGGCCACGCATGGCAGGCTGCCCGCGGCAGGCGGGAAGCACGGCTCAGCAGGCAGGGGTGCGGGGCACGGAGGTAGCATCCGGGGGAGTACGTGCAGAGGAGCAGGAGGCACAGGCCCTGCACGCAGCTCCGGGCCTGCCCCCACCCCTCTTGGGGCTCGCCCTGCAGCACTGCAAGCGGGGGGCGGGGGGGACATGGCAGAGGCGTAGCAGCGTGAGGCCGGCTCCCTCCTGCACAAGCGTTTGCTCTGCAGCACGCGCAGCAGCGTGCCCCTCTGCCCCAGTCTCATTCCCGCCCCCGCGCTGGGCAGGGGCCTCGGCCCAAACCCGGCCTGGGGCCAGCCGGTGCCCGCGGGCTGCAGCCTGGGGCCATGCCCACGGTGCGCAGCGCTGGTGGGGGGCGGGGAGCGCCCAGCGCTGGCATCACTTCAGGCAGCGCGACATCGTCTTCAGCGCGGCTGGACTAGGCCCAGAGCTGCGGCAGGCATCCGGCTTCGGTCCCTGCAAGGAGAAGCGGGGTCAGGGCAGCCCAGGACCTGGGCCAGAGCCTGCACCGGGCCCCTCCTGGCCATGCCCTGCCCCCAGCGCCCGCTGGTCCTGGAGGTGCCCGCAGTCTGGAGCCGGGAGCCCCCGGGGCTGCAGGAGGGAAGGACAGCCCTTGCCCTGCCTGTTCCAGCCCGCCGGGCCCCGGGCCAAGGAGCTCGGGAGCCCCAGGGCAGCGGGTACGCGGGCACTCACCGTGTACAGCTCACAGACCAGGTTGAAGAGCGCGTTCTGGGCCTGGGCCTGCAGGTCGTCCGTGTGCTTCTGCGCAGGAGAGAGAAGGGGCCGTCAGGGAACAGCACGGCCGAGCCCAGCTCCCTGCCCACAAACAGAAGCCTCCACCAGGCCCGGCCCAGCTCCCGGCACACAGGTCAGAGCAGCCATCCTACCCCATTGACCAGGATCCAGGGCACGTATTTGTGGGGCGGTTGGAGGGCATCCGTCCGCTGGGCGTTGTTGTGCATCAGCTTGATGCCCTGGTCTCCCTTCACGCAGGCCATGATGTCGGACAGCTTGATGTCGGGTGCGTAGATCTGCAGGCACTGAGCGTGGCCGGGGCGGGGGTCAGTGCAGGGAGCGGGAACCCGGCTTGCCGTGCCCTTCTCCAGCGCCCAGCGTGAGGGCAGGTGCCGCCTGGGCCCGTCAGCCCCGAGCAACTCGCAGCTGTCTCCAGGGCAGGGACAGGCAGCACAAGGCTGCACCGGGCCGGCTCCTGCCGAGCGGCTGGGGGTCGGGAGCAGGGGCAACACCCAGGGAGGCATCCCCGTGCCATGGGCTTGGCCAGCAGTAGCCCAGACTCTGCCCTCGCTGGGGTGCTGCCAGGCTGGACGTGCCAGTCGCAGGGCCCCGCAGGCAAGGGGAACGGCGCCAGGAGCCCCAACCTGGGCACCCCGCTCGCCCACCCACACCACCGCCCAGGCCCCAACGTACAGCGCCCATGTTGCCGGTCACAGATGAGCCCGACTCCATGCAGAAGATGACGAGGAAGTAGAGGTCAAAGTCCTGCAGCACGTCCATGAGGCAGGTCTGGGGAGCGGGCAGGCGGGGGCAGGGGTCAGTGCGGCCGCCCCGGGAGAGGCCAGGCAGGGAGGGTCCCCGCTGCCCTCGGTCCCCAGTTCTGCAGGGCCTGGGCAGGGCAGGGCCAAGGGCATTGCCACCCGCCCCAGGCCCGTGCGCCGGGGCTCACCTCCATCATGTTGCCCAGGCACTCGTCCGAGCCGTGCTGGCACTCGAACTGCCATTTGCCGCTGACGTTCTTCTCCTGCA